ATAGAGAGAGAGAGAGAGAGAGAGAGAGAGAGGGTATGTGTGTCCTGATTATTTCCTGTAATTATCTCTTGAATTTTCAAGCAATATACAAGCCATACACCAGTAAAACATAATGGCAAGGTGATTATAAAAATTCAATTCAGCCTGTTATTGGTACCAAGAATCTTAAGAGTAGGGATGAAGTGAAAACAAAGGCATCATGTCTGCCTAGAGGGGACACTTTATTTATATCATTACATCTCTTTACAATGTTGGCATCATGTGAGTGGGCAATATACCATCTCAAACCTAGCTTTTAGGAATAATGTTTTGTTCATTTGTGTCTTCTTTTAAAAAATAACCACATATGAGTTAAAAAAAAACAAAAACCTTTTAGAAAGTCTTATGTACCTCGGTGCACTCCACATTTTAATTCACAAATCTGCCTATTACAGGCACTGTCCATTGCTGTAATAACCCATTTCCCTTAGTTAGCAGTGAGGACAGAGGAGTGAGCAGTAGACAAAAATTCTCACCATCTTAGAGGTGTTTGTCCTCAGTAGTTCTCCAAAGGTCTTATCTTCTTCTTGTGGTTTCTAAGTATCTTTAAAAATTTTTATTTTGTTTTATTTTATTTTTCCCATCACCATTTATCCCTTCATGCCCTCTTCCACCTCGACCCAAATTATATAGCTCCCAAAATTATGTAGCTCCAGCCAGCTTACCCTTGAAAGCCTTCTCTGGAGTAGGGTTTTAAAGCATTAGATAAACTTTACAGAGGCACAGTTCCTCCTCCCAATACAGCATATACATATATGAGCCAAGTTTTATATATGTCACATAGTAAAAATGGGACCTGATCCCTAATCACAAAAGGATGTTCTAATGTGTTTTACAAAAGAAGGAAATGCTGATTATTTTGGATATCTAACGGGTTAGTCATGCTCACTAAAAGCAAGCTTGTCCCTTTGTTGGCCGCCTGTCCTGTGTGAGTGCCACCTTATCTGCAACAACATTTACTACATGCAGGCTATATGCCAGGAATTACTCTTGATACCACTCAGATTAAAAAGATGACCGAGAATCAGATGCTGCCCTTCAGAGTGTAAGAGTGGGCCTTGTTCTGAGTGGGCACTCAATGAATGTTTCATAAATGAACAAATTAATTAATTATAGGAGTTTGCAAGTTTCTAAGTTATGTTTATTTGGAAGTCTGAATGTCATAGGCAAATTAACAAAATAACATGTGAGTGATTCTGAGAAAAAGACATGTTATTCCTAGATGCTATTGACCAGGTCACTGCATCTCCCTTGGGAAAAATAAAATGATTTCAAATCATTTGCTTTCACAATAATATTTTTGTACATTTAAAGACCCCCAAGTAGCAAACTGTAGTAAAAATTTGTTTTGTTGGTCTTTCACACACAAAAAGATGTGTGCGTGAACACACATATGTGTGTATGTGTGTGGGCTAGCTTGGACAAAAGGAGCTGGAAAATGAACAAATTAAAGATAGGCAAAGGCTTACCCAGTACCTTAGAGAGGGATTACAGTCCACCTCCAGATTTGACTTATTTTGATTTATTCCTTGGCAGGTGAGATGAAATTGTGATTAATAATAATGCGATCTATCTTATCAAACTAGGAACAACCAACAAGGAATCTTTACAAACACCTCTGCTGCCAACACTTCCTTCAGTAATCACGACACCTAAAGGTGAAGGTGAGTAATAATATTTTTATTTTCTCTATATAATTTGTATACCATCATATCATAAACCATACTGCATACCCTTTTAAAGTACACAGTTCAATGGTTTTTTAGTATATTTATGAGTAATTTAGTACATTTATCACCACTACCTGATTACAGAATATTTTCATCACCCCAAGGAAAAAACCCTGTATCTGTTACTAATCACTCTCTATTCCCACTTTCCCCTAGCCCCTGGCAACCACTAACCCACATTGTGTCTCTGGAGATTTGCCTATTCTAGAAATTCCATATAAGTATAATCATATGACCTATGACCTTTTGTGTCTGAATTCTTTCACTTAGGATAATGCTCTGAGGTTTATCTATGCTGTAGTATGTTTCTATAGCTCATTCTTTCCCATGACTGAATAATATTTCATTAGATGGATCACTATATTTGTTGACCTATTTATTAGTTGATGGAAATTTGAACTGTTTCTGCATTTTGGCTATTATAAATAATGCTGCTAAGAACATACATGTACACGTTTTTGTGTGAGCACATGTTTTTATTTCTCTTGGGTTATATACCTTGAAGGACTATGTCACATGGTAATTCTATGTTTAACTCTTTGAAGAACTCATTTTCAAAACACCTGCACTATATTACATTCCCACCAGAAATGTATGAGGATATGAATTTTCCATTTTCTAACCAATACTCTATATTTTCCTCATAGTCATAACAGAGGGTGTTAAGTGATATCTCATTGTCGTTTTGATTTATGTTTTCCTAATGACTAATGACATTGAGCATCTTTTCATGTACCCGTTAGCCATTGTGTATCTTCTTAGGAGAAAGGTCTATTTAAGTCCTTGCCCATTTTTTTAATTGAGCTATGTGACTTTTTACTGTTTAGTTGTAAGAATGTTTTATATATTTTGAACTAGATCATTAGTGAGTAGATAATTTGCAAATACTTTCTCCCATTCCAGGGGTTGTCTTTGCGTTTTCTTGAGCTGTCCTTTGAAGGACTAAAATCTCTAATTTTGATGAAGTTAAATGTAGCTTTATTTTCTTTTGTCATGTAGAGGAAGCAAAACTTTACCCATCATAGGTTTTTAGCTGGGACCTTTAACAGGAAGACATACAAACAAAAGAAAAATAGTTCATTAACACATGCAGTGCACATCATGTGAGAAACATAAAACAAAGAGCATCTCAAAACAGTGACTTAGAATTCAGCTTATATACCATCTTCAACAACAACAAAACAATGCATTTGTTTAAAAAAAAAGAAGTGACAGGACAAAGGAAGACGTAAGCCTCCCAAGGGTAGCAAACTGAGGGAAGATTAATAGATAAATATATGAAAGGAAGCTAATGGGCGAAGTTTTGTTTGCAAATTCCTCTTGCCTGATAAAAGCCTGTCTCTAGTAAAAAAGGAATTTATATCCTGCCTTTAGGCAAAAAAGGGGAAGCTTTTTTTTTTTGCATTTGCTGCTTCTTAATTGCCTTCAGCTTTAAATTTTTATGTCAAAGAGACATATTTTGGGGTGACATTCTAGTTTTTCTAGTCACTGTGCAGTAGGACCAAATGTAAGAAACCATTGCTCAACTCAAGTCACAAGATTCATACCAATGTATTCTTCTAAGGATATTATAGTTTTAGCTCTTACATTCAAGGCTGATTTTGTATATGGTATAAGGTAGACATCTGGCTTCCTTCTTTTGCATGTGATTATTCAGTTGTCCTAACATCATCTATTGAAAAGATAATTCTTTCTTGATTTGAATCGTCTTGGAACTCTTGGTGAAAATCAATTGGCTATAAATGCATGTGTGTTTTTCTGGACTCTCAAATCTACTCCACTTATCTATATGTCTCCCCTTATCCAGAATCATCACTGTAGATCACTATAGCTTTGCATTAACTTTTGAAATCAGGAAATGTGAGTGCTCCAACATTTTTCTTCTTTTGCAAGATTGCTTTGACTATTTTGAGTCGCTTGAATTTTCATATAAATTTTAGGATAAATTTGTCAATTTCTGCAAGAAGTCAGTTGAGATTGTGATAAGGATTGCATTGACTCTGTTTGGAAAAAGTCAGTTTGGGAAGTATTACCATTTTATCAGTTTTAATTCTTCCAATCCATGAATGTGAGATGACTTTCCATTTATTTAGGTCTTTTTGTTTCTTTTGATAATGTTTATAGTTTTCAGTGTAGAAGATTGCTCTTGTTCAATTTATTCCTAATGTTTTATTCATTGTGATGCTATTAGAAATGGAATCATTTTTAAAATTTTATTGTTCAATGCTACTATATAGAGATAAAATTTATTTTCAAATATTAATATTGTATCCTGCCCCTTTATTGAGCTAATTTATTGGTTCTAACGTGTGTGTGTGTTCCTTAGATTTGCTATATCTAAGATTCATCTGCAAATAGAGATATTTTACTTCTTGACCCAGTGATTCCATTTGTTTTCTACTCCGAATGCCTTTTATTTTATTTTCTTGCTCATGTGCCCTGGCTAGAACCTTCAATACAACATTGAATTGAAGTGGTGAGAGGGGATATTAAGAAAGTCCTCTTTTATTACTAGTACTAGTGGCCTGGTGCATGAAATTCATGTGTGTGTGTGGGGGGGGGGGCGGTCCCTCAGCCCAACCTGCACCCTCTCTAGTCTAGGTTCCCTCAGGGGATGTCTGACTGTTGGTTTAGGCCTGATCCCACTGGCAGTCGGACATCCCTCTCACAATCCGGGACCTCTGGCTCCTAACCGCTCACCTACCTGCCTGCCTGATTACCCCTAACTGCCTCTGCCTGCTAGCCTGCTTGCTCCTAACTGCCCCCCCACTGGCCTGCTCGCCCCCACCTGCCCCCCGACTGCCGGCCTGCTCATCCCCAACTGCCCCCCACTGCTGACCTGTTCTCCCCAACTGCCCTCCCCTGCTGGCCTCATGACTCCCAACTGTCCTCCCCTGCCAGCCTCACGGCCCCCAACTGCCCTTCACAGCCAGCCTCATGGCCCCCAATTTCCCTCCCCAGCTGGCCTCATGGCCCCTAACTGTCCTCCCAGGCTGGCCTTCTCACTCCCAACTGCCCCCCCCCCCCAGCCTGATCACCCCCAACTTCCCTCCCCTCCTGACCTGATCACCCCTAACCCCCTCTGCCTTGGCCCCACCACTATGGCTTTGTCTGGAAGGACATCAGGAAGATCTCTCAGTCTAATTAGCATATTATCCTTTTATTAGTATAGATGTTGAGTGCTTTTATCATGCAACGGTGTTGCATTTTATCATGTGCATTTTCTTACTATATTGAGATTATTATATGGTTTTTATCTCTCATTTTATTAATATGTCATATGACATTGATTTCTGTATGCCCAACAACCTTACATTTCAGGTTAAATCCCACTTGGTTATTACATATTATGCTTTTTGTATGTTGCTGGATATGATTTGTATTACTTTGCAAAGAATTTTTGTGTCTACACTTATAAGATACAGGTTAATAGTTTTCTTGTGATGTTTTTGGGATGAGTTAGTTCTAACCTCAGTAAATGAATTAGGAAGTGTTCCCTTCTCTACCAATTTTTGGAAGAGCTTATAAAGAATTATTCTTTAAACATACATCAGAATTTACCATAAAGCTGTCTGGCCTAGGCTTTTCTTTGTGGAAAATTTTGAATTAGTATCGTAACCTCTGTATAGAGGTTGTTATAAGTCTATTCAGATTTTTTCTTGACTCAGATTACTAATTGGTGATTTACGAAGAAGTTGTCCATTTCCTCTAGGTTATCTAATTTGTTAGCACACAATGGTTCATAGCATTGCCTTATAACCCTTCTTATTTCTATTAAGATGGTAGTAATGTCCTCTATTTCATTCATTATTTTAGTAATATGAGTCCTCTTTTTTGTCAGGCTAACCAGATTTATCAATTTTGTTGATCTTTACAAAAGCCAACTTTTTATTTTATTGATTTCTCTATTTCTTTCCTCTCTAATCTTTAATATGTGTTTTTTCTTTTGCTCCCATTAGTTTGCTTGTCTATTTCTAAATTCTTAATTTCACAGGTTAGGTTAGGTTATTGATTTAAGATCATATTTCTTTTTAAATATAGGTGTTTATACCAATATATTTCCCTCTCAGATTTTTGCTACATCCCATTAATTTTCATATATTATGTTTTCATGTTCATTCATCTCAAAGTATATTCTAAAATCCCTTGTAATTTAATCCTTGACACATTGGTTATTTAGGATTATAGTGTTTCATATCTACATATTTATTAATCCCCCCCACTATGTTTTAAAAATTATTTTTCTTCTGTGTATTTACTACCTATCAGAGGTTTCCCCCTTCAAGCATCTAATTTTAAAATTAAATTTTAAAAATAAATAGTATAGAGATTATTCTAAAGAATAGTGTGGATATCTTTGTCTCATTAAGCAGAACATAGTAAGCATTGACTTGCAAGTGCTTTGCACTTTTTTAAGGTACTATTTTTAAATAGTGCATTTGCTTCTCATCTTGAGAAATGCATTATCATTTTTAGATTGTTTTAACAATTTTATTTAAAATATTATTATTTAAAGATAACTGAGTTTCAGAAAGGCTAAATGACTTAATTTTTTAAAAAACACAAATTTTATAATAATAATTTTGAATTTCAAAATTGCTCTTTTAACTTCAAAATTTTCTATTCAACAAATTCCTTATCAACTCTTTCTTAATGAACTTATAGTATTTTAACTTCACTTCATCACTTGGGGGGTATTAAGTAATGACACCTTCAGGTATTAATAAGGCTCACAGAGCATTTTTTTTCTCCCTCCACAATGTGGTCACCAAATTCTGTAATTGTTTTATGCATGGATATGTGTTTTTTTTTCTGTTTTTGGTACATGTTCTTGTTTTTTTCCTACTTTCAAGCTATCCCACTGATGAGATTGCCAGCCTGCTGTGAATGGTTATTTCTTTTAATTACTCCTTTAACTGAAAGCAACTGAACAC